TTTACAGTTTAATACAAAAAATTCAAAGCTTAATATACACAATTAACAATTTAAATAGAAAATCCACATCTTGATGCAATCAAAAAATTTATAAAAAAATCACAGGTTAATATTAGTCATTTCACAGCTTAATGCAGTCAACTCATAGTTTAAAACAAAAAATTCACAACTTAATATAGATAATTCACACTTTAAACAGAAAATTCACATCTGAATACAGTCAATTCACATCTTAATACAGTCAATTCACAGTGTAATACAAAAAATGCACAACGTAATATAAGCAATTCATAGCTTAAACAAAAAAATCCACACCTTAATACATTCAATTCACAATTTAAAACACAAAAATAACAGCTTAATACAGAAAAATCAAATTTTTAATACACAAAAATATGCATTCACAGCTATAATATCATGTCGGGTTGTCAATAATATAATACAAATATATATATATATATATATATATATATATATATATATATATATTATATTATACATATCAATGTTGTAAAAATCCCGATTAATCTCTGATTAATCCCTAGGCGCTACCCGACCGATTAGAGGGCGCCTAGCGATTAATCCCTGCCTAAAAAGTGACTGAAATAGTAGAAAACGATGGAATTTTAACACCTTGAAGAAGTTCTATCTCAATAGAAACCATTTGAGTGATGATTAATATTGTATTAATCATATTAACCTATTTTATTAAGATATTAGTGGTATTTACAAACTTTGTTATGATATTAGTCATATTTAATTTTGGAAAATTTAACGAGTTAGCAATTAATGGTCGCCGATTAATCCCCCGATTAATCTCCGCCTAACTGATTAATCCCTTAACCTCAGTCCACCGATTAGCTAACGTCGAGCATTTTTTACAACCTTGATATATATATATATATATATATATATATTATATATATATATATATTATATATATATAATATTAGCTTTACCACGAAAGATCAAACATAATTAAAAGAAACTAGGTGTAGCGATAGGTAGTGTGTCGTTGGTTGTTATGTTTAAGTTTTTGTTACAAAACTCTTTAACAGAAACATATGATGATGGTATGTGGTGAAAAAAAATATATATAAACATTATGGTAAAAGAGCCTAAAAAAACTGTTACAAGAGGAAAATATAATTTATGAAATCACCATTAGACCAGTTATGCTACAAAAATGCAAAAAAAAAAAAAATTGGCATTTAGCCATGATTCCGCCACAAAACGTTGTCCTACTTCAATCAAACCCCGACAAAGAATCCAACAATTTATGACAACAAATTAATGCGTATTTTCCATTTCCATTTCTCCTCTTAAATAATCAAAATAAAGTGCATATAATTCAATTCTATATACCAATTAAATTGCAAAATGGGTGCTCGTATCAAATTTAAACTGAAAAAATAGGATTTTTATGTACCAAAAAATCGTCCCTTCTTTGCTTCGCAACACCAATACACTTTTAGTGCTGATAACTGTTGAAGGCGTCGCGACTATCAGGTCGGTAGGCTTTCATATCGCTACTGCAACATTGATTCATTGAGCTGATTAAGTAGTTCACAACAATGTCTGAAGTAGTTATTACCCCTGGACACAACTAGCTATGTTATTCCTTCATTTTGACGGCAATAAGACTTGAAATCTCGGGATCACGAAGATCAGAAGCTGATAGTGTCTGAAACCATGAAGAATTTTTTTCGATGTGAAAAGACGAAAATGCCCAAAAAAATAGCCCTAAAAACTTTGTTATACCTTAGCATGTATGAATTCCTCTACTCGACCTTCTGCAAGAATCCATTGATCTTCACTTCACACGGCCATTGGATGAACCACAAGGCTGGAATGCAACCGAGAGTAATGTTTCTTCTTCTTTCGAGATTATTGGCTGAAAAATGAAGTCAATTAAACCATTGATGCTGTCTTGATCAACAATTACAGTAACATAATCATCATAAGTCAGGAAACTGTTAAAGGAAATTAGAAGAGAAATAAAAAGATTATTGATTGGTTGTCTTTATTGGATGGAGATGGGGCCATGGGGTGTGGTAATTTTTTTTCCCTTAATTTTATTCAAATAAAAATAAATGAAAAGGAAATTAGAAATGGTATATAAGAGACAGTTGATAAGTAATAACCATGGAACAAAAAAATAAATTAAAATTTTCTATAAAATTAAAACTAAATATTTTGGAAGTACTTTGGTTAAAAACATTCATTATTGGAAGTACTTTGCTTTAAAATCAATAAATATTTTGGTTTTTCCTGGAAAAAGTTAATATTCTATTTTCCAAAATGAAATAAACAAAATTTGTGGTATTATTCCAAAAACATATAGAGAAACTGATTGAACCAATTGATCTTTTGTATCATCAATCATCAAATGATTTGAAGTTGAAGGGCTACAGACAGTTTTTAGTGGATTCTCCACAACACCGAATGGATTTTGCTTCCACATTAGCATCAATTGGATGAGAAAGTGTCAGCATTGTCTCCGATAATGCCTTCATACTTCTTACATCCCACCTAACAGCAGCAAATTGCTCCCTGCAACACCACATTGGTCAATCTAGGGCTATTTGTCTTTATCAATAAATTAACAACAACACTTTGTATAAATGACTTGCCCTTTGCAAGCAACCCATATTTGACACGTTAGTGGGCATTTGGCAAACATATATTGATTTATTAGACATGAGTTCTGACATATCCCTGCAATCTTAAAGAATTGGGTTGACTGCAATTGTAAATGTATTATGGATTGACCGCCATATGAATTGAAATCTCTAGTTTGAATCTAAACCAACGGTTATTTGTGCACAACAAGAACCGACCAGTTTTCTGCTTTCAAAGGATTTTTTCTTGCATTATGATTATGCAAATTCTGCCAATTAATATCCATTTTCAGTCATTTTCCTCATAGTTCATAACATTGTAGTGTAAATCACCAAAAAAAACTCATTAAGTAGAAAGGCATACCCGGTTTGATTGGAGGCGCTCTGATTTCTACTGTGCGAAACCACTTTACTTCCCTACCAATGATTGTAGTCGCTAGAACACAATCTGCCACCTACATAAAAAAATAAAAAAATAAAAAAAATCCTTACTTGGTTGCAACTTAAGACACACAACAGCCACTGAACACAGATAAACACAGACATACCAGCCACTCATACACATACAAACACACACAACAACCATCTCACCATATCATTAGGCCAAATGTCTTTTGGTTTATAAAAAATTGTAAATGGAAATGTAAATTTATTATAAATAGGAATGGCCGAAAAGGTCAAACCTACGTAAAGTACTTCATGACAATGGTTATGAGAGGCTTTAAATCTCAACAGATGAAAAACTTTTGTGGATTTGATAGCCATAAGTGGTGGAGACGGTGTGAATATGGAAGAAGCAGGTACCGGTTGGTGAGACACCCCCCTAATATCTTCCTCTGTTCCGATGCTAATATATTCCGTACATCAACATCATCTAAACATTCTTGCATGAAAAAATTCTCATGTATTTTCTCAATAACCTACATCATGCATTTCAATCAATAATTAGTAACATATGAATATGATACGACGCAACAACACCAAACCACACCAAATGGACCAAAAGATGCAAAAGTCCTTTCATCTGGTCTGTCATCATGATCAATCTGAAGAAGGGAAGGCCCCGGAAGCCCAAACTGTCGCCTACTACATGGAAAATATATGTATCAGCAATGCAAACAATAAACGGATAAATTTTGAATTGAAGGGTCTGGTCTGTCTTGTATTGTATGGTATTATACCTTTCTACAACTATTAACTTAAGCTTGTTATGAGGTCATACTATTATGGAATCGTCTATGATTACAACAGATGATTCCATACCATTGTTCTTCAAGTTTATCTTCATGTTTATAAACAGGTTCTGCTGCTCGGACAAAGTATCCTCCTGCCCTTAGCATCTTGTGTTTACCTCCAGCAACAAAATTCCATCTTAAACAGAAACGAAGAAAAGGTAAAGAGACAGCTAATATGAGTAAATACTACTTAATTCAAACATAAAAAGGAAGGTGTAAAGAGATTGAAAGACATAATCTTAGGGGCCATAATTGTAACTTAAATTGAAAGCAAAAGTGAAGGTACTGGAAACGATAACATTAAAACCTGATCGAACCTCAACAATGTATGCTATTAATCAGTTCACATTTCTAAATCATAGTAAAAAATCAAGAAACGCATTTATTTCATAGTTTAACACTTACATAGCTCTTAGTTGAAGACATTTACTATTTTCATTTGGAATTTGACCATGTAAGTTGTTTTGGTGAAGTGCCCTGATAATAACAAAAAAATGCATAAATCAAACACAAATTAACTTAAATAAGTTAAGATTACAGCTCCAAAAATACACTTATGGTGTCTGTAGTCTAGTGAGTTTACCAATGCTAGGAGATATAAACCCCCCAAGCTCCATGTATCGCAAGTTTCTGAAACAAATCACAAAACGAAAATCAAGGGTTAGAACTTAGAACTGTATGCAATCTGTTCCGAAATTAGGTTTTTCTGTTACTCTATTCATCCTTGAAATGCGGTCGGGCCTCATCATCTACCGAACCGGTAAAAGACATCAAAGATTGAACCTGGAGTTGGGACCTATGTTTGGAGAGATGGAGCCTAAGCCGTAAGCGAAACCGTTGTTTACGATTGCAATGGAGACGAAGACTGAAGACAGAAGGGTAATCGAAGTTGGTGGAAACGGCAACACGATCAAACCGAGGCGGTAACCCTGCTGGACCGGATTGGATGGCGGTGGCGATGAACTGTTCCCGAATAAAAAGGATCAGGAAGTGGTTAGCGGTGGAGGGAGCAAAGGGTAGAAGAAGAGAGGAGACTCGATTTGGGAGGTGGTGGAAGGATCGTGAAGCAAACAGAACGAAAGCAGATAAACATCAAATACTGAGAGGCCGGGCACGATGACCAACACGTGGACAGAGAATATAATATTTTCCATAAAACACCCCTATACCAAAATTCTATAATTAAGGGACCATTTCTGCCAAAAACACACAAGTTCACTATTCATCTTTTAACACAACTTTAATATATATATATATATATATATATATATTTATATATATATATATATATATATATATATATATATAATATAATATAATAATATTAGTAAATTCTTTATAATTATCTAAGAAGAAGAGTTCTTATATTTTGAAAACATCTTTAAATGCATAGTTATTAACCTAAATTAAATAACAAATAAATAAATTGAGACAATTTTAAATTCTTTGATTACAAATATACTTATCAACTAAATAAACTACCACCTAAATCAAATTATGTTTGTAAACTAAAGAAGGAGAAAAAAATAAAAAGTTTAAAGCAATTTTTATTTCTAATTTCTACAGCTAGCTAACACTAATTGGTGAATTACACTTTACTATGTAAAAGTAGTGATATAGTACGTCTACTTTTCGGACTAGACAAATAGGTTTTGACTTTTTAATTATAATCTCTGTATTTTGACTATTTGTGCACACGCCACGGACATCAAGAGAAAAACATATACCTTAAAGATAAATAATATCAGTCACCGGAGAAAATAAAGAAGTTATAAAGTTATGATATTATTTTATCAGATTAGAATAAACTCATAATTTAATTCAAAAAGATTCTACATTCACAACTTAACAATAGCTAAAGCTAATATTAACAAAAGTAGACGACAAATGAGAGATTAAAACATCACATTCACAACTTAACACAAGAAAGAACTATAAAAAAACACAAAAATTATATCAGAGATATAATGCACAATCAACTCATAAAAATCACACACCTCAACACAATTCCATGAGAAAAATGTTATTATTTTGATAAAAGGTATATCTTGATATTTAAAACACTTGTAAAGCAAAATCATAACTCTATGTTTAAAATATGCATCATAACACAAAAACTTTAAGCACAACAGCAAAATATGAAGTGATATTACATTCTTTGAGTGAAACTCCACTAGATTTACAGAATGTTCATCGTAGCGGACATAATTTCAGATCAAGAGAGGTAGAGAGCATGAGCATCGACGAAGACAATGCGAAATGCTTCGATCTGAGCATAAGTTGCGACGTATGAAGCCCTTGGTGGTTAGAGATGAACAAGATAGCTGGAGGTGGTCGGAGACAAAGCAAATCTGGAGGAATTAGAGACAAATCATATCTAGAGGGAGGCGGTTTTGGTAGATCCTCATCACTTTCCGAAGTTGTCGAGCTGCAGAAAGGATGTAATTGATGTTAGAGTACCGGAGAAGAGAGAGAACGATGGCAAGCATCATTTTTTTGGTGTTTTGGCTAGGTTGGAGGTCAGAAACAAAGCACACATCACAGATCTGAAGGAGTAGAAAGTAAGCTCTGGTGCTTCGGTGGTGATAGCTGCTGTTCGAGGGATATAACAACATTTGGCAACAATGGTTACAGATATGGTGGTTGTTTGGCGTAGATCTGGACTCGAACATTTCAGATCTATAGTAGAAAATCGTAGATCTAGAGATGAACATTGTAGATCTGATCCGAAATCACAGATCTAGAATCGACTGGAGCTTGTACATCTAAGGACGATAGTTCACCGGGGGGAGGAGATGTCGACGATACACCGGAGAAGAGGTAACGATGGTACCAGATCTGAAATTCGTCGTCGACAGTGATGACAGTGGTGGGTTCGTCGTTGGCGGTGGTGGTGAGGTCGTCGTCGACGGTGGTGGCTGTAGTGGTGTTCATCAGAGGAGGATGAAGGAAATGAGAGAGTGTTTTTTGTTCTTAGCTATTATTAAAGAATGTTATTTGATCAAACTCAAAAGTAATGGAATGGATTTTACACAAAGACCATTATGTCCTTATTGTGTTTTTTATATATAAAAAAACCTTAAGAAAAATCAAAATATAAAAAAAACCCCTTAATTATAAGTTAAACATAAATGGTTCTTAGGGTTCTTAACATTAGTGGTTCTCATCTGATCTATTACCTATATATATATATATATATATATATATATATATATATATATATAGAGAGAGAGAGTGAGAGAGAGAGAGAGAGACTTAGCTTCAAACGAGAACAATTATACAATTGACAACACGAGAACGAATATGAGCCACTAATTTTGAACCTTGGAAATTTTAAATTTTATTAAAAGAATTTATTAATTAGACAAATACTAAAAACATATGTCAACCTCATTTGAAGTTTGACCGGTGGCTGAGACTACCGATCCTACCATCAGAGTCACCGTACCGCTGTCGGAATCAATGGAACAACACCATAATAACCTGATCTTATTTCACTACCACTTGTCCTGATCTTTTTGTTCACTACCTCCCATTGAAGCATGCATCGACGTCAAATCAGTGTAGGGTCATATGACTCATTCAACATTTTGTTGCAAAACAAATCAGCGTCCAAGCTCCTCAATGTCTCCGATGATTCAACATGATTTACTCCTCTGAGCATCTCCTCTCCTGTAATCAAGCATCATCAATTGACAAAATTTCTCAATGATTTTATTTATGGATATTGCTTCTGAATAAAAAATTATTGATCCTCCTCATAAGAGTCAAATTGATTTGTACTATGATCAGGAAAACGATAACCTTGGATTTGATTATGAGTTGCAACATGAGATTTGTGATATTTTTAAATCTGGCATCATTTATACAGAAGGTGATCTCGAGAAAATCAAAACCGACAGATAAAAAATGGTGGTAGATCTGAGCTCCTCAATCTTCCTTGTTTGCCCTCCTTCCTTCTTTCTTGCAAAATCACACTTAGAATGATGAAAATGGCTTCTTCTCTCCCTCACAACACTCTCAGGTGCTCTGGTGCTCTTAAAGGTGAAGGTGGCCGCAAATGAGGGCCATAAGGTCCTTTAAATAGGGCACAGGCCCGGGGATTTAGGGTTTCAGCCCACAGCGCGGACTCGTCGAGTCCACCCGTCGACTCGTCGAGTCCCTTCATTAATCCAGTCAGCAAAACGCGATCCTACTCGACGAGTCTAGGCGTCAACTCGTCGAGTTCCTCCTCAAAACTAAAAATAAATGAATAACATAGAATACCTGGGAATCCGGATGTTACACGATGGCTCCCCTCACTCTCTCTCTCTCTCTCTGTGTTTCTCTGAAAACGATTGTCAAGAATAACGGATTTCTAGAAGTTGTTAATCTCGATTTCAAGTAAGTAATCTTCTTCTTTAGCTTTTTCAATTCATTGTTTTAATTTAGGTTACTTGAAGTAGACCGATTGGGGTTTTTTTATCTATCTTTCTTTTCAATATCTATAGTTAATTAGTTAGTTTTTATTTCAACTCGATTGTTGATATCATAATCATTATTTAATCCCATAAAAGACAGAGCATTTTGTTGATAAAGTAACTTACAATTACCGTAAAACTTTTAGACACTGAAGCAATTTTCCTCAATCGAGAGTTATGTCATGAGAAATGAGGAGATTTTCTACAAATGTTTAATCAGATCGAGAAATCGATGGTCGAGGTAAGGTTTCTCTATGTCTAAATATTAATGTCCGTTATGTGTTTGATGATATGTCTCTTACAATTGCACAATGTTTTTCTTTTACTCCGTTCTTTGCTTTCTTGATCATTGTTCATTTATTGAATTATTTTTGTTAGTACTGTATAGGAGGTCCCATATATGGCAGTCAATAGTTGCCCGGTTTGATTTTGGATTTAAAAGGGTATTCTTTTACTTCCACAATTCATATGGATTTCAATTAAATTCATATGGATTTCAATTAAATTATTTTGCTAATAGCATTGATCATTAAATTTATAGTAAGCATCACATAAAAAATGTTGGTCTAACATTTGAAGAGATGAAAAAAATCAATCTTTGGTCACACACTCAAAAGTTACATCAATTAACTGGGTTTGTGTTTTTTTTTCTTCATAACATGTTAAATGTTTTTAAACATAGTTTCACTATCTTTAAAACTGGGTAGGTTTGGGGGTTTTTCTTAGGTTACATAAAAAAAATGGGCTTTATGATTTAAATTGTGGATATATATATATATATATATATATATATATCTATATATATATATATATATATATATATATATATATATATATATATATATATATTTTGCAGACAAAACATATCTCATTGCCCCCCTTTTCTGTAACTTTAATAAGCTTAAGGTACACTCAAAGAGGCGACATAAATTTCATCGATTACACGGTGAGCTTTCTTCAACTTATGAATGTTCTTTTAAAGGAAACCTTACTTACTTATTAGCCTCTCCAAATAGTGAAGCTTCTATCCCACCCAATAACGATTCCATCATCTTTCGGCATAGTCCATTTTCTGAATCTGGTATGTATTTGTTTGTTGTTAGTTTCAAGTAAATAGTTAGTATTAGTTTGTTCTTACAACTTTGGTACCCCTATTGTATTTAATAGCTTAGTAGCTTATATTTAACGATCCATGGAACAAAATTGTTACAATAATTCAAAATAAGGACCAAAATTGTATAACTATTTTTTTAGAACCAAAACGAAAAAAATAAGCCAACCTGAGCGACCAAAATTGTAATGTACTCTTTCTTTTAATTACAACATTATATTTCAATTATTTTGTTATACAGACAATGTACTTTGAGAAAGCTATTCAATTATAACATTGTCCTTTCAATCTTTTTTCCTCACAAGACCAGACCTTGTGGATTGTATAAATGATTACTTTTTCTTTGTTGATCTACTATGCATGCATTACTTAGTCTCTTTGGTAATCTATGTAGGCAGCTTACTTTTCAATGATAATCTTGATCTTCTCCGTGAGTTCATAAATGTTTTTGGCAGATGCTTCAACTCCCGCATCTGATCATGCTTTGCTTTGTTTCTTTAGTATGCATGTAAATGTGTTATGATGAGTGGAGTCAGAGCACAAAAAGGATAAGATAGTATGGAAAACTTAACTTTCAACAATTTCATATATATTTTCTCCTTTTAAGTTTTTGAAGGGGTTATTATGTATATCACTACAATTTGACTAAATCACTAAACTAAAACTATTATTGGACCTATATTTACGTTATTAGCAACAACATATGGCTGGACAATAAATTTAGCCCTTGCGTGACCATACACACTTTCTTGCTATCTCCATTTAACCAGGTCAAAATTCCTTTGATATGATCATTTCTTTCTTAGTTTTAGATGAATTAAAAGATATTAGAATTGAATCCTGATATTGCTACATGTCAATTTATTTTAATTCGAATTAACATGATTGGACATCTTTTTTGAAGCGGTTTATATGAAATTTGTTGGTGCATTTAATTCATATTAGTTTCCATTTTGTAATGAAATTTTATATACCATTTCAGGGTAGACAGTGGTTATTCAGATTCTATTTTGGCGATCACATTGCAACCTTAATGACCATGGATTAAATATGAGGGTATACATATGTTTTATTTATTTATTTGGATTTGGATAGTGTGCCCATCAACCTAAGGGATCTGTCAGAATTGTATGATGAACCACAAAAATCAACCAACAACACACAGTTGGAGAATCAAGATTTCCTTATCAAATGCATTGCACAACATATAGGATATACAAGAAACATACAGTTAGCCTTGTGTGTATTATATACAAATATCTTCTTCAATAAATATATTTCAATTTTATGTATTGACCTTTTTGTTTTTTAGTATTGACCTTTAGTTGTATTTAACCATTTTATTAAATTGTGATTTGGATTTTCCTTTTAGAAACAAATTGATAAATTTTTGCAACCACAAATTAATCTTCATTAATTTATATATACATATATTGTTTTCAAATATTAAACCTGCAAGTAATATATAATGGGTGTTGTCAATATGGATTTGTTATTTAAAACATTAAGGGACAAAATGTATATCATGATAATAAAATAATAATGTCACCAAATAAATCGAAGAAGTATTAGTTGAAGCATCAATTTAGATAGGTATTTAAACATTTAAGGGGCAAATTCTATGTTGTGACAATAAATGTCATTCTTTTATTAAATTTTAAGATTGTATTGTTTATTAAATTGATTATGTTTAATATATGATAATAATATCAAAATATGTAATACACATCTTTTGTCATTCTTTTATTAATTTTTTAGAATTTATTGTTTATTGAATTGATTATGTTTAATATATCATCAATACGTTGAATATTTGTTGAATATCAAAATATATCTATAATAAATAATGTTTTTTTTATATATCTATAATTATAATGTATATATTATGTTTAACAAATTATAAGACCGAACAAGTTGTTTTATAATGCATTATTTATATTTTCTAATTCAAGTGTTAATTGCTTCATAATTTAGGCTTATTTTGTTTTACTACCGTCTTTAATTGTGGGTATCATCTTTAATTTAAAAAATTATGCAATTTAAACAGGCCCGTTTAAGCAAAAATAAGGATAAAATGTTATAAACCTTTGATTTTTTATTATCATTTTTAATTATCAATATTATTTGTATTTCTTACCTGTAGTTTCCACGGGTTATAACCTAGTATATATATATATATATATATATATATATATATATATATATATATAATTTTAGTAGAAATGAGTATGTTTTTCAAAAAAAAAAAAATACCGTCTAAAAAATAAAAAATATATTAAAAAAAATTCCATGAATATATATAAAAAATATATTCACATTTGAATAGTCTTATATAAATAACATATAAAATATATTCACATATG